AGCTTCGATGAACACAATTATTTCTAATTTTATACCATTTTAGTGCAATATTTTTTTTTAAATTTATTTTTGCATTATTTTAGTTATAAGCCTATTTTACAGATAATAATTGGAGATCATGATAATTTACCAAAAAATCATTGCAAGAAATTATTAGAACGATTATATTATGTGAATGATTAAACTAATTTTCCTTTTATATTCAGCTAACTTAAATATTTATCAATTAAAGTGTAGTTTATGTCGACTTAAAAGTGTAGTTTATGTCGACTTATTTTCAAGTAATATATGACTCCACTTACCAAGATAGCTGTAGTCATTTTCGAAAAGGATAAATAACTTTTTTTATGTACTTTTTTCGTTTATAATTGTTTGATAGATATATTCAAATTGAATGTTCAAAATTAATTGTCAATTTAAATAATTAAGAAATAATTAGTCATTTTTTTAAATTTGCCCTTAATGATAGTGTAATTCATTTAAAAAGTTATGTAGACTTTTGATATTCTTGGTATAGTAGGATTATATTAGTCAAATTACACGTTGTATATCTTGAGGGTGTGCACAGTTGCGGAGCCAGGATTTTTAATAAGGGGTTCAAAATTCATAGAAATAGACACACAAAGTTATCGAAGGGGGTTCGACATCTACTATATATACATAAAATATTATTTTAACCATGTATAAATAGTGTAATTTTCCGTCGAAGAGGGTTCAGATGAACCTCCTTGTATCAAGATAGCTCCATCTCTGATTATGCATGATCTTATCATGACAACCAATTGTGAACGGAATAGTTTAAAAATGATTGGATTATATTTGTCCTTTCTTTCAATTTTTTTGGGCTCACAAACGCCTTAATGTACCAAAGAAAAAAAAGAATACAAGGGAAATGGTCCCAAGTCTCAAGAATCTACTGAATTACAATTGTTCTTTGTAAATCACTAAATTTACATCTTTTTTTTTCTAGCAGCATCCATAATATACGAATATATTAAGTGGGGTCTTATTTTGGTCAAAAAGATAAAGAGTTGAATAAATAGAGTGACTACTAGTATTTGTTAGTGAAAAAACAATAGAGGTCAAGGTTTGACAAAATATCTTATGGTGAAAATCTTAGACAAAGAGAGAGAGGGAAAAAAATCTGATACTATCTTAGATAATCATGAATATGATATTTTAGGCATCTTAGATAATCACGAATTTAAGATTTGGGCAAGTAATACCCAATCACATCCAGGATTCATATGACTTTAAAAAAAAATTTAGCCGTTCTATTTTTTATATTTAGTAATAATGTTATTTTAAAATACACGTTTTCCTTTTAATAAAATGATTTCAGGTCCTATAAATATTTATGATTTATTTTAAAGTAAATTCTTTTTTAAAGAAAATTCTTAAATTCTATGTCAAGTTAAGTTAACTCATATAAATTGAAATAGAGATATTAAAATTGAGTAGGATTTAAAAAGTATTATTATAGTATAATTCACGGAGTTATTGTAATATATAGTATGCTTTAAAGTATTATTATATTATATAGTATGATTCACATATCTCGTTAGTTTAGGAGTTAATTATTCAGATTCACGTTAGTTTAAAATATTATGATTTTTATTGAATTTTAAACTTTCGATACATGAGTCAAAATTAGGTGTAATTTATTGGATTTGCTTGTGTCTGGCTCTCTCACTCACTTCTCTCGTATCTCACTCGTCATTTTCGTCTCTTGCTCGTTTCTCTCTCTCTGTCTCTCAATTATATGTACCTAGTGTGATTCATATGAATATAGGAATCTCACTCGTCACTTTCATCACTTGCTCTCCTCTCTTACTATTTCGGAATCTCATATACTATACCAAGTGTGATTCATATATATCTAATTACCTCGATCGCTCATCACTTTCCTCTCTTGCTCAGCTCTTTCTCTCTGTGCCGGTGTTTTCATATACATATATACCTAGTATGATTTATATGTATCTAGAAATCTCGCTCGTCACTTTCCTCTCTTGTTCGCCTCCCTCCTATCTATCTCTCCTTATTTGGCTCGCTTTTCTCCATGTATCTACTATCTCAAATATATTATATTTAATATGATTCACATGTATTGGCTAAACATAAAATCAGTCGTACTCCGACTTTAACCATCCTACGTACACAATCCTTATCACAATTAAACAGTGAAAAAAGAATAATAACTTAGGAAATTGTTACAGTAAGCTATGACGTAATATTTATAATGCTTTTGCCGAAAGTACTTCCCATTTTTACCTTAGTGCATTATAACGTGCATTAAAATTTCCAATTTCATATCCCTTTATATCATATAGTATACAAATATTCTTTATATCAATATATCTTGGTCAACCCAAATAACATATTAACGTTAATTTTGACTTTTCTGAAAGGACATGTACGGTCTAAATTAATTTTAACTTCAAGAAAGATAAATATGTATCAATAAATAAAGCATTTATTCTGATCACTTCATATATTAGAAGATATTTGCGTGTCTAAAATAAAGCCTCTGCTGCAACTCATGAATTTACAACCACAAACTATGGCATCTCATTCATTCCTGACTTTTAACTTTTTACTCGAGCAGATGTTATGTTTAAGGATGATAAAATTAATTTATAAAAATATAATTTATTTAAATTATTTGAATTTGATCGTGTTAATGATTTGTTCACATATTTATAAGATCAGTCTATTTCAAGCCATCTAAAAGTTATAGGCTGATTTGAAATATATACGTAGCTATCAAATAGATCTATGAAAACTATTGTCAAGATATTTTGTTAACTTCTTTTGTTTGATGAATTAAAAATTATTTTTTAGAAAACAATTCAACTGGACATAATTGGACATCACTAATTATGTATGAACAATTAATAGCTTACCTATTATTATTTCATTTTATTTTAATATATATATATTATAGTTAGGTTACACAAGAGTCGAATAACAAATATATTACTTAATGTTTACCTATATAGTCGTTAAATTTAGAAAAGGAATAAATGAATTGTATTGACGCGTAAAATTTAAATAAATTCTTTAGGACCTTAGATATGAGTGGTCTTGCTGATTCTAGGACATGGTGTTGTCAAATATTCTAGTATATAGCCAGATGTGGAGCTAGGTGGTTCGTGGATTCGATCGAATTCAGTAATTTTTTTTAGATTTTGTATTTTTACTAGAAAATTAAATAAACATATATGTATGTTAACTTGTGCCCCCTAGCAAAATTAATTGATGATTCGGTGGTAAATATGAAATTGTGAAAATGTTTTTCACGCTTATATTGTGGGTTTAAACCTCATTGTAAATAAAAAAAAAGGATAATTATATAGAATGACAAACTAATAATATAAAATAAATATAGTAGGTACCGTTTGATTTATTTGTGTTTCATAGCAAGCTGTTTGTCAGTCCTCTCTCCTTCATATCTCGCTCGTCACTCTCCCTCTCTCGCTCGCTTCCTTCGCTCGCCTCTCTCGCTTTATACAATAGAATTGTATAAATTGTGTTTCTAATTGTATAAAGCGAGAGAAAATTGTATATACACAAGCTAATATATATCTCCGTCTTATACACTTATAATACGTGAAAGTTGCCAAAAAAAACTCCAAACTCTTTACTCCGCCTCTGAGTATACCCCAGTAGTGGGGTCCCAAGCATTTTGATTACTACAAGGTTTTTCATTTTGCATATTTAACCAATCGAGCTATATATGTATTAATTAATTTAAAATCTATATTGTATACAAGATTTTTTAATAATGTAGCATAAAAAAAAAGTTTCAGAGGCTTCATCTTGTGTTACCTATATAAATACCTTGATGCCCTTTCAACTATTCTCACCCATCTCCCTTCTATTTTCACTTTTCAATATTTCTGTCATGGACCATAGAAATGAGTTTTCTGAGACTCTTAGGTACTATATCTACATATATAGTTTTTGTTTTCCCCAAAATTTTACTAATTGACTTGTTTTTGTATCTTATATACTAATATGCATATCATTCACGATAGCAGTATTCATTCAAATTGATTTAAGATTCTTATAGTACTATATATCAGGGAATTTTAATCTATGATGGAAGGTTAAATAATGTTTTATCACATCTAACATTGCTTACCTTATATTACAAATGACTAGATCGCGTAAATTTATTTATAATGTCAGTATATAGAACTTTAACCCCTCTAAAAATTCATGGAGTACAGGAACAAATGTGCAGCATGCTATAGGCAGTTCAACAAAATGGAGCATCTAGTTGAACACATGAGGATATCTTATCATTCAGTTCATGAACCTATGTGTTTGATTTGTAGAAAACATTGTCGATCTTTTGAATCTTTGAGAGAACATCTCATTGGTAATCTTCTTTCTTTTTTCCTTCCTAGCAACAAGTTGCAATAGTATTAGTTTGCAGAAGGGGGTTCGTGGGTTTGGACAAAAAAAATAATATATATATATATATATATATGTATATGTATATATATTAACCTGTGAACTCTCTAATAAATTTGATTGACAGCTTAGTAGTAAGAAAGGGGTGGTGAAAATGATTTTCACGCTAATGGTGTGGCTTCAAACCCCACCATCAAGCATGTTTGCAATATTTTTGTCCTGAAATTTACAACCCCAAAATTCTAATCCTGGCTCGGCCTCCGAGTCTAGTTAACTTTTTCTTCTAAATTAGTCATATAATTGTATTTTAGGGCCATTGCCAAAGGCTGAGTGTGAGAAGATTTTCAAGGAACGAGGATGTGATATTTGTTTGACACTCCTTGCTAGCCGGAATGCACTAAGGACTCACAAGGAATCATGTCAACTCTCACGCTCAAATAATGTATGTATACTTATTCCAACAACACAACGAACATCAGTTTATTTTAAAATAAAAAAGATATAATAGATTTTTTTTTTCAATTTCTGGTTATTTAGCATTACCCTTTCTCAAATACTCGTAGTTTTATACATTTGTTAATTTTCAGGGTTTGCTCTATCGTATGACTAGGTTGGGATTAGGTTTTCAAGATGACCTAAAAATTAGCAATAGTCAAGGAAAAGTTGTTGCTCTTTCTTGCAAAATGGTAGGTGGTGGCAACGATGGCTCTCTTCATCTTTGTGCAAGAGTTTGCCTAATTGATGAACATGAAAGAATCCTCTTTGAATCCTATGTTGCACCAAATATTCCCATCACGAACTATAGGTAATTGTCGTACACCAGTAATTAGTGTATTAAAGTTTGATTAATTAACATAATATAGACGGGTTGATCAAATGTTTAGGTATGAAATATCGGGGATTAGGCCAGAATACATGAGAAATGCAATGCCATTGAAGCAAGTATCGAGAAAAATTCAAGATTATCTTTGTAATGGTGAACCTATTTGGCAAATTCGTACTAGAAGTGGAAGGGCTAGGATCCTTGTTGGTCACAATTTGGATCATGATTTAAAATGCTTAGAAATGGACTACCCAACAATAATGTTAAGGTAAGTCCTTTAATTGTCGAGTTTACACAACATACATGTATAAATAATAATTTGATAAATAAGACAACTAATTAAAATATATTTTACGTAGGGATACAGCAAAATACCCTCCACTAATGAAAACAAGCAAGCTGAGCAACTCACTCAAGTACTTGAGCAAAGCTTATCTTGGGTACGTACGTACGTACGTAAATACTTTAAATTGTTAATTATTGTGACCTTTTATATACTCCAGTTTCTAAATATAAAAAATTATATCTAAATTCACACGAGACATTTGTTAGTTTAACCTTGGTACTAATAAGAATCAATCTTAATTGTCTTGTAATTGAATAGATATGAAATTCAAACAGGAGTTCAAGATCCATATGATGATTGTGTTGCAACAATGAGGTTGTACAAGAGAATGAAATCACAAGCTCATATAAGGGAGAATTATCCACTTGCAATTGACCCACAAAATCGTAATAATTTTGCATCATGGAAGGAAAATGAACTTGTGAAGATGATGCCTTCACAATTACTAGAAATCTCACGATCTGATTATTATTGTTGGTGTTTGGATTCCTAAGAAATTCATCAATTTATTTATAGATTAAACCATGCTACTCTTTATTAAACAACATTTACTACTTAACTTATTCAATAATGTAATAGTATTACTTTTTATTATTACTACGTCTTTGAGTTGTTTTGGTTTTTGATATATAGTCCTTAATGTATGAAAAAATATGACCATTTTGATTTTTTGTCCATTTTTATTTGTCATGTTACGCTTTTTCAAAAGTTAATTTAATTAATTTTTAAAGTAAAATTAGATTACATTAATTTAATATTTTTTGATTTTTTAGATATTCAAAAACTATACGAAAAGTTCTATAAATTGCAATTTTTTTACATATCAATATAATGAAAATATACCTCGTAAAATGTTGGTCAAATTTTTATATTTTGACTATAAAAAATGAAATCATGACAACTAATTGTGGACGGAGGAAGTAGTACTTTCCATTCATTTTTATTTGTCATGTTACGCTTTTCGAAAGTCAATTTGACACATTTTTAAATTAAATTAAATTACATTAATTCGATATGTTAAACAAAAAATTTAGTTATTCAAAAAGTATTCTAAAAGTACTATAAATTATAATTTCTTACATATCAATATGATAAAAAAAAAATACATTATAAAATATTTATCAAAAGTCTTATAATTTGACTCTAAAAAGATAGAAACAATAACGATTAAACGGAGAGAGAAAGTAGAATTTTACAATTGCTCCGTATTAGTCTTTGTGAATACTTTTATTTATATGCATTATAAGCCATTAGGCTTTATGTCCCCCCTCCATTTCGTTAAAAAAATTATTCTCTCCGTTTCTTTTTTATATATCATTTTTTATTAAAAATAATTAAATTAAAATACTTATTATTTTATAAATTAATACATAAATTATTATATTCTTCCTATTATATTCTTGATGAAGTAATTAATATTGAAAATATATAATTTGACAAACCTAGGAAAACTAAGTAATTAATATTCATTAGAATACTTCACACATTGATTAATTAGTCTCTTCTATCATTATTCTATAAAATATGCTTTTTGAAAATAAACCAAATTTTTTTAAATAGTCATCCAAATGCATTTTAATTTTTGAAGTCTAACATATTCATAATGAAAAGTCAACTTAAAAAAGACATTAAATAAGGATATAAGGGTAAAATTATTTAATTTCTTAATACAAATGCAACTAAAAACGTGACATAAAAAGAAACGAACGAATTAACAATTTTCTGCTAAAGTTGACAGACAAATTTAACTTTATATTAACAGAAACTACTAAATTTACAGTTAAAAGATCAATATAAGTACATTTTAGGTAAACACTACACTCTCTTTGTCCTTAATTACTTATCCATTTTTAAATTGACACACTTATTAAGAAAACAATACTTAACATGGTAATTATACTATTTTATCCATATTAGTTATGAACTCGGTGAATTAAAAATTTAAGCTTTTCTAAAAATTATACATTTTTAAAAGTAATTAATTAATAATTTGTCAAAATAAACAAGTAATTAGGTCAATTAAAATAGGTAACAGAGAGTATTTATTAAGTGGTATAAACCAAGGACAAAAATAATTGAACCTCTATACATTACTCCCTCCATTTCATATTAATTAAATTTTTGAAGTATTTTTCATTTTTCAAATTAATTTAATTGATCAATCTTCAAAATTATTTTTAAAATTTTCTTTCAATTTAACCTTTCATTGAAATTTTAAATTTTCAATATGATTGACTTCAATAAATTTGACAATAATTAATAAGGGTAAAAATGAAAAATTATATTTAATTTATGTTTTAATCTACTTTTTTTAAAGGCGTGAAATACCTTAAAAATTCAATTAATATGAAACGACGAGTGAGACACATTTTGACCATTGTCTCTCAAATATTCTAGAATAGCCCAATTGACCCCAAGCATTTTGACTACAACGTAACGGCTTTCTGTTTTGGATTTTTAATTTAGTCCATATCTATTAATTATTAAGATACTATCTAATAAAAGTGAAATTTTTAATGCATTTGACTATTTACAGATTATTGCTTAATTAGCACTCAAAAAAAAGAAGTCAAGGCTTTGTCTTCTGTTACCTATATAAATACCTTGGTATGTCTCCTCAATTATTCTCACATTTCATTCTTCTCTATTCAATTTTTAATATTTCTTAAGCACTATTGTTGTTTTCATGGACCATAGATATGAGATTTCTCAAACTCTCAGGTAATATAAACATGTCTTTTTACAAAATTTTACTAACTTGTTTTTGTCTTTCAAATGGATTTATATCATATATATATATATATATGATTTTCTTTACAATCAGTGAATTTTAATCTGTGAAAATAGATTGATTAAAATTTTATTATATTATATGTATGATTTTCTTTACTATCAGTAAATTTTAATTTGCAAAAATAGATTGATTAAAGTTTTATTATATTTAACTACACTGACCATGTGTACAAATGTTTTTTCTTTATAAGTCATCACTTTAGGTTGTGAAACTTTTGGTGCGGCCGTGGGATAAGCTTTAACCCCTTACTTGTCGATATATAATAAAACGTTACAAAAAATTAGAGGAGACATGGACCTTACCTCTAATCTATCAGAGGAATTAATACAAATTGTAGCGTAACACCCAAAAAATCGATGAGAAGGAGTAGCTTATGCATAGTTGTCAAAAATCATATTAATTTTATCAAAAAAAAAAGAATTACTCTTTTTATATCTCCTCCTCTTTGAAGGGAGTTGTCATTCGATTTAATAGATTTAAATTTTTAACTTCGCTTGATAGTTAATGATATGAGAGGCAGAAGGTTCCAGATCCACTAGATTGGCTAAGTGGAACAGCTTTCTGTTTTGCATATTTAATTTAGTCAATATATATATGTATCTATTAATAATTAAGATACAATTTTATAAAAGTTAGATTTTTAATGTACTTGATAATTTACAAAATCTTGCTTAACTAGCACTCAAAAAAAATTTAGAGGCTTCATCTTCTCAATTAAATTTTTATTATTGCTTAAGCACTACTTATAATGTCATGGACCATAGATAATGAGACTTGTCAAACTCTCGAGGACTATAAATATGTCTTTTCACAAAGTTATTTTACTAAACGTATTTTTATTTTATTCACGATAGATATACTCTTTTAAATAGATCATTTTATTTATCTACGATTTTCGTCATTACAGGAAATGTGCAGCATGCTATAAGACGTTCAACACAATGGAGTCTCTAGTTGAACACATGAGGACATCATATCATTCAGTTCATGAACCTATGTGTTTGATTTGTGAGAAACACTGTCAATCTTTTGCAGCTTTGAGACAACACCTTATTGGTATATAAAAATTCTAGCAAAAAGTCCTAATTAGTCAAATGACTTGTGTAACATAATTATACATTGCTAACAAATTTTTTTCTCTATTTTTTTTTTAATTTTAGGGCCATTACCAAAGGCAAATTGTGAGAAGATTTTCAAGGAACTAGGATGTAACATTTGTTTGTCACTCTTTGCTAGTCGTAATGCTCTAATGGCTCACAAAGAATCATGTCCATTGTCACGCTCAAATAATGTATGTTTATTCAAACTCCGCAACTCATCCATTTGATCGTACGTTCTATTTTTCTCAGATCCTTATAGTTGTGTTAATTTAATTTTTAGGGTTTTCTCTATCGTGGGCTTCGAAATGACTTAAGGATTGACAATATGCAACGAAAAGTTGTTGCTATTTCTTGTAAAATAGTAGGTGGTGGCATCGATGGAGCTATTGACCTTTGTGCTAGAGTTTGTCTAATTGATGAACATGAAAGAATCCTCTTTGATTCCTACGTCGAACCAATTAGGCCAATCACTAACTACAGGTAATATTGATGTACTAAGGTTTTTTTTATTAATAAAATTGATATAGACAAATTGAATAATAAAGTGAATGTTTAGGTATAAAACATCGGGGATAAGTCCTCGACACATGAGGGGTGCAATGCCAATAAACCAAGTAACAGGAAAAATTCAATATTATATTTGTAACGGGGAACTTCTTTGGCAAATTCATGCTGGAAGTGGAAGGGCTAGGATCCTTGTTGGTCACGATTTGGATCGTCTTTTTAAATGCTTAGGACTCCAATACCCATCAGTAATGATAAGGTACGTGATAACTGACAACGATCAATAACCTGATAAATTATTGTTTGACTCTTCTTCAAAAAAAATTTTAAAAAAATTTGTATGAAGGGATACTGCAAAATATCCTCCACTGATGGACACAAACAAGAATAGCAATTCACTCAAGTACTTGACCAAAACTTATCTTGGGTACGTATGTACGTAAACATTTTGAATTATTAATTATTGTTAGATGAAAACTTCAATCTCAAAAATTAAATTAAAATTATGTTGTGATGAATAGGTATGAGATTCAGACAAGAGTTCAAGATCCATATGATGATTGTGTTGCAACAATGAGGTTGTACATGAAAATGAAATCACAAGCTCATAAAAGGGAGGAGTGGCCACTTGTTATTGACCCAAAAACTTGTAATATTTTTGGGTCATGTAAGCAAAGTGAATTTGAGAAGATGACACCTGCACAATTGTTGGAAATCTCAAGGTCTAATTATTATTGTTGGTGTTTGGATTCCTACATAAATTGATGTAGAGGGAGGGGAAAAAAAACTCTATTAGACAATGTTTTACTATTTATTTATGCAATAATGTAATAGTTGTTCTATTTACTGTTATTACTATTATTTAGTAAACATGTACTCTTCTTTATTTGGTGACATGAGATTCAATGATGATGTTACAATTTTATTTGGCATTATTTATATTTTATACATGATAAAAGTCAAAACATACATTTATCAAAGATGTGTAAATGCGTCCTCTCCTCATGTATCCCACTTGAGATATTTTGAGTCTACTCATTTGTCTAAGTCATATATATATATATAGAGAGAGAGAGAGAGAGAGAATTGAATCAACCTCACCACTTATTAGTAATCTTTCTCTAGTTGTTGTGGATGAATGCTCTCTATTCATTGTGTGATTTGGAGATGGGAGTGGTGTGAGGATTTTGTGAAGTGCTTAGTGTGTAGTGTGAGTGGAGTGCATGTATGTGCGTGTCTTGGTGAAAATATCGTAGGTAAGAAAAAAAGTTTATCACGAAATGAATAAAATAGAATTATTGGTAATTGATAAGGAACTATTGGCTCTATTTGGATTTTATATTTTTATAACAAGTAAGAGAAAATGGTCAAATGCCTTAACGTATTAGTCAATTTTCAATTACACATCAATATTTTAAGGGGGTTCTATTATCCCCTGAATTTTTTATTTTTAATATCTTTTAAATCTTAAACGCTGAGATGTCCAAGAAGGTGAATACATCTACGCGCGTGAAGATGTATCTACGACGTGTTTTCTGTGTTTTTGAATCTACGTGTAAGTCCAAATCAGTCTAAAATAAGTCTTCCGATTACAACTTGCATTTCTAAGCCCTTTTTCTCCCACAAATCTTTCATCTTCTTCCTTTCTTCTGCCATTTTAAAAGCTTGAAGCTTGGGAACAATTTCAAAGCTTCAATGATAACTTTTATTTCAAAATCTTGAACCTTTAGGATTTCTAATCTTCTCTAATTTTTTTCGCTATTAGATTCAAGGTTCTAATTTATTTTCCTCACTAATAAATATAAAATTGCAAGGTCAACTAGATCTAGGTATGGAGCTTGAAATTTCTTCTCCACATCAATGTCCAAAAGTAAGTTATTTCCCTCTTCAATTCATAAATATAAAACTACACGTACGTACACTCATTCTTTTCATCTTCCTCCAGCAAGCAGAATCATGAAACATTTTTCTCCCTCACCATTACAGTTGACCTTCAAGATTTAGTAAATATCGATTTTCAAGATCTAATTTTTCATTCAAAAATTGATTTTATTTATTTTTAAAAAATTACAACACATGTTACATAGCATTATTAAAATTATCAGGTGCAGAACAATTAATCTTGAAGAAGAAGAAGAAAGGTTGATACTCCATTCAATAGTAAACATGTGGTCATGTTTGGAATTGAGAATTTAACCTAATTAAAAAAAATAAGTTAAAAGAAGTGGGTCTATTGTATCTGTATCTAAAATAAATAAGAAAATAAAATTAAATAAAGTGGGCCCACCTAGCGCGTGTATTCAAACATATGTATATATCTGGGAATGGCAAAAGTTGAGCATTTAAGGGTTACAAAATATCATAAATAAAAAGTTAAGGAGGATAATAAGACTCTCGTAAAATTTAAGTGTGTAGCTGAGAATTGACTGATAGATTAAGAGGTCATTTGGCCATTTTCTTTAATAAGTAATAATAAAATATTATCAAAATATTAAATATAAAAAAAATCAAAGTACATAATTTTTGTAACTTTTTTTTTTCTCTTGAAAATAAAAAAATAGAATCATCTAAAAAGATTATATATTTTTTATGATTTTCGGAGAGGAAAACTGAGAGTGGAATGAGTGTATGTATATGTGCAAGTCATGAGTGTCGACAAAAGTTTGTTACGAAATTAATAAAGGACTAAAGATTATTGACTTTCTATAAATTTTATCATTTTATAATAAATAATAAAACGTAACTAAATATTAGATATAAGAAATTCAAAGAACATATTAATTTTTTTGTACTTCTTTTTTTCTTGAAAATTCAAAACAAAACAGTGTTATCTAGAAATGACTATATAAAGTTTTTGTGGTCTTTGGAGAGGAAAAATGTGAGTTTTTGTGGTCTTTGGAGAGGAAAAATGTGAGCGGAGTGAGTGTATGTATGTATGTGTATGTGTATGTGCAAGTGAGTGTTTTGTTGAGAATATTGTTGGTTAGACAAAAGTTTATCAAAAAAGATTATTGATTCTCTCTAGATTTTTTTTTATACTAATAAAATACTGACTACATATTAGATATAAGAAAGTTAAAAGAATACATTAGTAGAAAACATGTCGGTAGCAATAATTATTTAGCAATAATTAAATATGTATTGCAATAGACATTCATTTGTAACGATTATAACTTTTGCAATAGAAAATTGGACCTAATGAAAAACTTTGAGAATTAAATCGTTGCATTAGTACTGCAACCGTTGCCATAGTATCTTTATATTGCAACAGTTCGTACAAACTAATCGCCTTAGGTACTCTATGACAACAGTTTCTCAATTATTTTTCTTCACTCATTTCACTACAGCCGCCAAAAGAGTTTTTTTTTAAAAAATAATTGTAAATTTTAAAATAAAAGAACCTAATTTTTAATTCAAACCATTAAAAATTAGATTGACCATGAAACTCATGAGCAAACTAAAGGCTTCAGTACTTTCTACTTTTTGGCCTAATTTTGTGAACTTGAATGAATGTCAATTCTTGAACATTCTAGGATTATTTTTATGTTTAGGCTTAATTTTTGTGAACATCAATGTATGTTAACTGTTGAATTGTAAATCAAGATCATGTGTACTTATCTTTAATATATGGTGTGACTAGTTGAACTACATATTGGTTTAATATTTTCTATCATTATATTATAGTTTACCATTTAAAATGTTTATTGCAAAAGCTTAATAACATTGTTACAATAGTTTAGAAGAACCGTTGTAATAGAGTAGACCGAGTTGTATAATAAAGTTGTTGCTATAGGTCTTTTGCAACAGTTCGCAACTGTTGCAGCAATCATAGAAAAGTGTCGTCCTAGATTAAAGAATAATTATTGTTATAGATAGTGTGTTGCAACAGTTTATAACTATTGCTATAAAACCGTTACTATAGAAACAGATTTATATGCAACACACCGATTTCCGTTGCCATAATGTAATTATAATACTTTTTGAGTTTATGGCAATGATTATTCTTATATTGCAATAGACCTAATTTCTAGTCGTGATATATTTTTCGTAAAAGAATTTTCCTTGAATAGAAAATAAAAATATTATCTAAAAATAATAATTATTCTTTTTGTGGTTTTTGGAGAGGAAAATTGAGTGAAGTGAGTAGATATATGTGTGTAAGATGAGTGTCTTGGTGAGAATATTGAAAATAAGAGAAGGTTGTCATACAATGGGTAAGAGGAAATCTTTGTCAAGTGGCAAAAAATCATCGACTCTATCTTGATTTTATCTTTTAAAAGTAATATAAAAAAATGAAACTTATTTGTCGATCTTATTTGTGCTTATTTTCTCAATAATTATTATTTAGATATATTAAACATTATAATAATGTGGTCCAATTATTCTTTAGTTGTTTCAAATAGGTGATATTTATTACTGTTAATTAGAATGTCATATAAATTGCTAAAAACTAAATTATAAGACTAATAATAATACTTGCTCGCAATTAAGAAACATATTTAAGAAAATATAATATTTATTTAGACTACATAAAAAAACTATATATATAAATCAATTTGTATCACATGGTGGAAGCCATATACAACTTTTATACGCAAGTATACCCACCCTTTTTCACCTTTAAATAGGAGGATCCTTCGTGAAATCATCACCATAGCTCTTCCCTTTTAAATTTTTTTTAATTAATAATAAGGTTAGATTTTCCTTTTTAATGAATTAAAAAATATTTTGCATTATATTATTCAGTTTTGGTTTTTGATTTTTGGTTTTGAAGAAGTGTAACCGAATCCGAATCAAAATAAATTTGGTTTGATTTTTCTTTTTTTGGTTTGAATTTTTTCAATTTGGTTAATTGGTTATGTCAATAATTAGAAACATAACAAACTTATATTTGCAATTTGAAAAAATATATATATATATATA